GCGACAGGCCATGATAACCTCATGATGCTTTTTCCCATTCTTTTAGCTCAAATGCTTGCCCATGTCTGCTTGGTGCACCCAGGATTGAATGGCCCAAAAAGCAGTTCAGGCCTGTGGGAAGAAGGAAGCTATAACTGACCTTCACAGAATCCTCTCTTAGGATGAGGGATGAAACCATACAAGATTATGGGAAAATGTAAACATTTAATAATTTCAAAAAAATAGACTGAAAGTGTGAAAGAAGCTAGGGTTTGAATGTCCCCGTGACCAAAGCCAAATGGCATTACTTGATTTATGGCTCCCAGGCAAGACTCACTCTTGCCTGATGCAGCCTTGATGGCAGAAATATGATGGGTCCTCCTGGTATACTATCAAATCATTCATCATTTTTTACCCAACACTTTTCCCTTAGGTAATCCAGTCCCTGCTGTGACGCTATGAGTGAATTGTGATTGCATGCTTGGTCCCGAAATCAATTTTTATGAGAAGCAGAAGGGGGAAAAAAAGAAAAAAAAAATCAATGCAATTTATTGCAACTTACTGCAGTGCATCAGAGTAATTCTTTCTGCCAGTGTGAAAGAGTCCTTTACAAATAGGAGAAAACTGGGAAGGTGGAAGGAGAGCAGTCTAGAAATTTGTTCTGAGCTGTAACAAAGCACCTTGTTAGGTCTGAAAGCCCTAACACCAGTCAGAGAATTTGCTTTACTGGGGGCTTGTGGAACCCACTGCCCTTCTGCAGTACCCTGGCAGTGGCCTGGGCCAGTACCCGATTAACCAGTGCTGAAACAGCTCTGACTGTGGCTGCTCTGGGAGGGGATCCAATGGCACCCCCAGCCACACAGAGGTTGTGGGAAGCCAGCAGCTAAACCCTTGAGCCCGTTCTCTGAGGCATGTGTGGAAAAGCAGTGCTAGAGAGTGGGCAGCCCTCACCAGGGCTGAGTTAAAATCAGCATCAGCTGAATGGGGGGGTGTGTCTGCAGGCTGGGCATGCCTTTCAGGTCCTGAGCGTGCCCTCTCATGCTCAGTTTGCTCATCACCATTATCACTGCACACCTGAAAACCCTCCTTCAGGGGGGCAGCAGAGGTCAGCAAAGTTTTAGCCTATTTGCTCCATTTGGTTGCCTACCTGCAGAGACAGCCCTATTTAAAGTTGCTGTGGTGGTCCTGCTGTGGATTTCATGCCTGATGGTAACTCTAAGGCCACCTTACTCCCCACGGCCAGGTTTCTGTGTCGTGACACACAGCTTCCCCTCTTTCACAGATCCCTGCACACAGAGCAGCTCTCACACAACACATTGCTTGGCAGGAAGGCTGGTGGCTGGGGCAGGGTAGATGGCCAACCATGGCACTACAAGCACTTGCAGGAAGATCCTTACAGCTGGTCTTGGCGGGCCATCAGAGTAATCAGCAACAAACCATGAGCGTGCCTTAACCTGAGAAATGCTTGCCTAGGGAAAAAAGCTGGCAGCCAAACTAGGGCACATGAGAAGGCTTCCATAAACCATGCTCTCTCCTGCTCCTTCCTCCCTCAACCATCTAAGGGACTGCTCTCCCACTCTCTTTTAAAAAAAAAAAAAATCTAACTTAATAAATAATTGTTATAGTTTGAATCCCTGTCCTTTAAGTCTTCTTTCAAAACAGTAGAGAGTATTCCCCTAAAAATCCCTTATATACAAAAGTAGCACTTTCACTTGATTTCTTAACCAGATAAATATACATGCACAGGCATCTGGAAATGGAGAAAAGCCAGTAATGCTAACCTGCCTACCACACCCCATCATGAAACAACTGGAGGATTTGGAGATTAACAGGCTTACCCAGCACAAGGCGAGCTCTGCAAAGGGAGATCCTGTCTCATTGACTCCTGAGGCTTAGTGTTAGATAGGATTTAAAATACGTCTTTACCATAGCCCCTATAAATCAAGCCAAGCAGCTGAAGCCCTCACTTCTACCCTTTCCTTCAGCGCATCCTGCTAATACACTTAGCAATTTGAAACTGCTGTATCTATGCAGTTCTTTGCCTCACCTTAGTGACTGAACTCTCAGTAGTGAGAGGGTACAGGAACCCTTCTTCCAGCTAGTGAAGGTTGTCCTCCTAACACTTCTGGGAAGAAGGTGCCGAAAAGACCTGACCTTCCAGGATGAGCAGGCACTCCAGTGATGCATTTTCATCATTGATGAACTTCACACCTGTTGGAAGAGAAAGGAGTAGCTGCAACTCTTCTGGACCTTTAGAGTTTCCAGCTATGTCATCTGAAGACAGAAGCTGAGGTGTGTTGGCCACAAGTTTGGGGACAACCAGTGTTTAATCTGTTGTGTGCTTAAGGATATTAACAACACAGAGATGTACAAAGAGCTGTGTGTGGTGTGAGGGAGTAGTACAAAGCCTGGTGGGGGAACTGAAGTCATAAGAGTTGCTATCTTTTGCTTTCCTCCGGTGGGTTTTGAGTCTATGGGGAGATCATCTCTGCTAGCCATGAACCCCCATAGGGTACTGCCACACTTGCGGTGTTCAGACAAGACTGGCCATCAAGGTGAGGTAAAACCCTTCCCTGGGAAGAGATTTCTGCTGGAATACATCTTGAAACACCACAGAGGTAGTTCAAAGTTAACAGAAATTGTGAGGGTTGGAGAGGTCAGGCACCTCTGGCTTTTCTTGGTTTGCATGGGATCAGGACTCATAGTCAGCTAGGACTTTGGAGGTAGCACTGCCTATAGCTCTTCCTCACATGAGTATACCAAAGGTGCTCTTCAACCATACAGTTAGGCTTCATTTAAAACCAAACTAGCACAGGGGAACTTCTGTAGACAAAACAAAGCAAAACAAAACAAGTCTCAGCTTTGATGGGTGATTCAGAACAGAAACAAAGATCTTTCCCTTGCTTGCATTGCCTTCCCAGACCAACCCTTTTCTTTCATCCTTGCCCTCAGTTCAACAACTTACCAGGCACTCCTGGGTTGCAGCACACTTAACAGAGCCTCTTTCATGGCCTTAGGAAAAATCTTTATTTCTGCCACCCCTGAAGCCTGTTGTCCTGCTCTTCCTCCAGGAACACTCCCAGTCCCTCTCTGTGCTGCCTCTCCCTGCTTTGCACCCACCCTGCACCCCAGCAGGTCCTCCTGGGCAGCTCACACCGCACAACTGCTGCAGCAGGGCGGATCAGCCCCTCTCCCCCAGAGCTATGGCTCTTCGGATTGAAGCCGGCAGGGTAAGGCAGCCTGCAGCCATGCTGCTGGGGGGCTGCCTTTAAACAGGGGGCTAACAGCACTCAGCTCCAAAAGCCACCCATCTGCCTCTCTCAGACAAGAAATACGACTATCCATGGACACTGATAGATGAGGAAATCACAGAAAAAAAAGTGATTTTTTAGCACATACGCAACATGGGATCAAGCTACAGATCTTGTTAGGTGATGATGGGAAGTATTGCTCAGAAGTCAATTCACACGGGGCTGCAGGTTTATCTGGGCATCGACATTGTGCGGTTTCTCTTCAGTCTATCACTGTAAAATGCAGTGATATTCATGGGCATGTGCAGAGATGTAATTGAAATTGTGCAGAGCACAAAGTAGATTTGAAAAACTTCTTTTGCATCTCTGCTGTAAGGTGTGGTGAGGTTGTTTCATTAGCAAGCAGAGTTAAAGAAAAAAGCTCCTCTCTTGCTTAGTTGCTAGCTGTTGTTTTTTTTTTTTTTTTTTTTTAAATTAGAAAACAAAGCAATTCAATGTCTTGAAATGACTGGAGTTGTGAGGAGATCTCACTTATTCTGCACAAGCACATGGTGAGTAGGGATGAAAGAGGTGACTAAACATGTAAAGCCACCTCTGGCCTAGAAAGTCCTTAAATTGCACATGGTTGGCAACCAAGAGGCTCTTCTGAGGAAGTATCACAGGTATACTGCACCATGTACTCACTGTGTTATCACTGTCTCTAGGCATCTGCTTTTGGGCATGACAAAACCAGGCTACAGCATGAGGTGCACATTTGATCTCATCTACCCTGGGGTGCACCAACTCAAAGGCTGAAGGTAGCTCCTGAGGTTCAGTGAACAAGCCATAGGGCTGTCAGAGACAAGATCCCCTCTCCCTTCAAATCCACAGGCAGACCTTTTTTTTCTGTTGCTGAGTTGCAGGGAAGGGCTCGCATAGTGGCATGAGGGAGGAAGAGTTGCCTGCAAAAAGGAGCCAGGTGAGGTCTTTCACTAGGAAAAAGAAAAACCTTGCCCAAAGAGGGAACAGGCCACCGCATCGGTGCAAGTACTCAGCAGTTCATGAGCAGAGGAGCATGGTTTTCTGTCCCATGGGCAGCACTGGTGTGCCTTTAGTACCTGCGAGCATCAGCTGGGCTGAGCACAGAGGGAGAACTGGCAGGAGGAGCAAGAGTCCTTGTTTGTCATGTACCCCAGAGCCGTTGCTGGTCTGCGTGGGGCCAGGCAGGAGGACACCTGTGGGAAGAACAGCCTCTGGGATGCCTATTCCCCTCACGAGTAGCCTCGTGAGCAATACTAGTCATTATTCAAACGCGGGTGGTGTGTCTTGGGCAGGGATGGGTACACTCCATCTGAACGGGACAGGTGTGTACAGGTTGTGGGGGTAAGGGCCGTGACTGCAGCCTGTCGCACACCAATCTTGCTCTGAAGGGGCCAAAGGCTTCCCTAGATCTTTCCTCCATTTAATAAACACTAGTTGGATGTGCAGTGGCAGTACTACTCTGAATTCTTAATATTAATTAATTTTATTAAAACCTCTTTTAAAAATCTCCAGCCAGTCAGTGACACTACCAGCCACTTTTGTTTCCAAACAAAACTGGATCTAATTTATTCAGAAAAACAGGTTCCCCTGTCCCCTCCCTGGAGCCACTGTACGCAGATATCCCGAGAGCACTCTGCATGTCATCTCAGGCTCTTATACACACAGCCTGTAGAGTTGTGGCGTTTTTTAAATGAAGATTTCAAATATTCAAAAGCAACCGCACACGCACACAGACAAAAAAACCAGTCGTCATCTGGCAAGGCTCTTTTAATGCTGTACTTTTACCAAACCACAGTACATACTTCAAATAAGGCCTAACAGATTATACTCTTTATAAATTTACAAACAGTTTATTCTCCTTAAAGAGATCATATTACTTTTATCAGTCTTGTGTATTTCAATGAATTATATGTTTATTCAAGCATAACATAGCAAATGTAGCCATAAATCTGTAGACTAAATGTCTGTAACAGAGGAATCTCAGATACACTATACTTTCAGATTAGGATTTTTTTAAATATACACATTTTTGTTTAAATAGGGTAACCGTCACATCCTGGTTATGCTTCCCATGGGAAAACTGTGCTCAAGAAAGAAACCTGTGGACTAGAATAATTGCAAACAAACAAGGTCTTGGTTCACCTGCCAGGAAATGGGGCCAGCTTTGTAGGCACATAACCCTGGGATTGGCTTTCAACCTGGTTTGGAGGGAAGGGGCGAGAGGCTGGCTTTGCTTTCCTGATAGCTACTGGCCCTGGTCCTTTCCCAGTTACAGACCACTCCACAGCAGCAGGAACGAGATTGCTAAGAAAGCACAACCGCATTTCAACCTCTAACCAAGAGCCCAGGTTATTGGGAGCTGGCTGGCCGGTAATGATGCATTACTCAGATGTGGCATACAAATGGAGTATTTAAAAAAAACCAAAGGAGTAAAAGAAAAGGGGATGCAAAATGACCTGCCTTGGTAGCAATTTTGACAATTTTTTGCTACTGCTATGTTTATGGATCTACTTCTGAACTCTCATTCATGGCCTAGTCTCTGCTGACACCTTTTCCTGCTCACGAGGCTATACTCATAGCCCAGCTATTGCTAGCTTGCTATCTTGCCAAGCAAAGCTAACGAAATAGGAGCACCTCACTAAACTGTGAAAACCCCAATAGCTTGCTAAAGAAACTATGTTTTGAGGCCCTCACACTGATCAACATCACAGGCTGTGCAAGGCAGGTGTTTCTGAAGTGTTATATGGGCTTCAATCCATCTCTCAAAGACAGAAATAAGTTCCTGCTTGAGCCCAATATGTCTTTGCCAAGGAACCAATGAGGAAAGAAAAAAAAAAAATAGACAAAAGCCAAATCCAAATCATGCAAATTATAGCTGGATAATAAAAATCAAATCCACCCCAGGTCTCTCTTGTGACAGAGACAGCTGGTTGCTTTCTAAACTGCAGAACCAGCCACTCTGTAGCTCCTAAATAACAAGAGTTTGGCAGTAATAACCATGCACAAAGTAAAGGCCACTTATAAAACTTCTCCATAAAAATATCTATTTATCTCTGTATCTCTATTTATATATGTCAGTAAGAAGCTTCAGATTGAGCACATTCCAAGCACTCTGTAGGGAGGTGGAATCTATTTAATCCCCATGAAATGAAGTGCTCTTAGTTAGGGTTGGCATCCACATATAGGATTAAGTCAGCACAGATCATTTCCAGGAGGCTTCTGCTAATTAGCACTAGTCAAATGGGGTATCAGGGTTGTTGATGAGCTGAAGCCTTTCAGGAATATTGTGCCAAATCATGCTGTTGTAGTAGAACTCCCTGGACTCGGGCTGCTCAACACATGGTTCAGTTCACTAGAACTGAGGATATTTTATGTGACACCTGCCCAGCCCACTGATCCACTGCAGAGCAGAGCAAAAGAAAAGATCTTCCTTACCAGTGTATAAATGAGATCGACCATGCAAAGCAGACTTGTGGAAAGCCAGTTCCCTGTGCTTCAAAGAGTTAATGGGAATCAAGTGATGCCTTAGCCTTCTTTATTCAAGTGACCGATCCCATATCTTAAGTAGCTGGAGCTTCAAAAGATCAGACAATGCAGGAGTTGCAATGGAGTGAGTATAATATCTCACGTACTCTAAATACAGAAGCATTATTTTTTTCCCTCTCTGAGATGCTGATCCAATGAAAATAAAATTATTTAATAACCAATTTGAGAATTTTCTTGGATGTGCTAATAACTGAAATCTGTAGGAGTGCTGACCTGTTGCCCCTGTTGAGATGGACCTTTGAAACCCTAAGAGACTAAAACTGCTGCAGGTCACTATTTTTGTGTCCTCCTTTGGAAGCTTCCTGTGGCCTTGTATCGCTGCCACAAAAGTACAAGGGAAAGGGCTGGCTGAGGGTTAATTCTGACATCTTGTGGCCTTAAGGAAAATAGAAGTTGGCTTTTGCTAAACATTTATTTTAGTATTGACATCTCTTGGGAAAATTTGAACACATAAAAGAAAGTGAATATGCTTAATGGAATGTGGTGCAGCTACTTCATTCTCAGACTCTCTTTGCCAGATGGTGATGTGATTTTGGAACAAATAAAAACCAGTCATAAAATAATGTTGCTGATGGCAGAAATGAAAATTTTACTTTCAGTCACTGAGTACTATAAACAGGTAAAACCGGCTGCAAATAGATGACAGGAATTCAGTGGCATACAACTCTCCCACTAGAATAGTCACATTTTAAGAAGGTGAGAGGCTTCACCTTGGTCAAAGTAGCAAGCATTGCTAGGAAGGAGTTTAAAGATGACAGTGAAAGGTGATGAATTAGTCAGTGAGAGGAAACATTTCTAAAGTAGAGGAAGAGATGGGAAAAAACCCTCAGATCTGTCAGCTGATTTCTTTCCATGCTGGCCCTGGAGTGGTGGGTAGGGGGTATGGAAAGAAAGAGACATTAGATGTGTACAGAGATCTACTCCTGTACCAGGAAATGTGTAACAAAAGGGACTTGAACATTGTGTTTCAGGGTGTGCAGCAAAGGGAATTTCTCTATGCTACCTCACCCTGTTGCAGTAGCTTATGTTTCAGGGATTAAGGTCTCATTACTGCAAGTCACACAAGAAAACTCTGGAGACAGACTTTGATTTTATAATAGAAATAAATTACAGCCAGATGCAGATACTATGTCCAGTGCTTTATGATGGAAAACCATAACTTACTTTTACACATCTACCCAATGGAGATTTTTAAGACAAAGCAGTACAGGGCTGTTGGGCCAATCTGTGAATGATTTATTAACTGTGCCAAGCTCAGACTCCTTCAGTGGCAAACAAACCGTAAGCATGAGGATGCACAGTTTAGAGAATAAACATTAGCATACAGGGGATGGTTACCTCATCTTTATTCAGCCATGTTTATCTTGCATACCTCCACAGGAGTTTAAAAAAATAATGCCTAGATTTGGCTGGTTGCTCCATTGCTAACCAGAACCACGACTAAATGTAGGAGAGCTGTGGAGGCTGTGAATTTTCCAAATGAAGCCACTTTCACCTGACATGAGTGATCTAAAGTTATTGCTTTCTGTCCGATTCAAGAGTTTGTTGACTTGTTCCGGTGACACTTCCGGTCTGTCTTAAACAAGAACCTGTTTGCAGTCTTCTGCTCTGAAAATGGAGCCAGTGGGGAAAAACTGCAACTGGACAGGATGCTAGATAATCTCATCCAGGCTCCCTTTCCCATGACAGTTTGGACCAGAAGGTTTTTCGAGGTCCCTTCCCACCTGGGCTGTGTTTTTTGTAAGATGGGGGAAAGGGGACAAGAGACAGGAACAGATGGCAACACATTTGAGAATTGTCTTCTAACCAAGGACAGACCAGCAGGTAGAAGAGCTTGGGACTCGTGAGCCTGTGCTCTCACCAGCAGCATAGAGCAGCTTGCTTAAGTTTCATGTCTTCAGTGGTATTCTTGCAACAGCCTGTTTTAAAGCACGCAAAAGACCAGAGAAGCTCAAATATTTTGGCCATAAAGGCAATGCACGCATGGTGATACATGACCAGCCACAGCACTGTACCTACCCCAAGCCCCTAATTGGAAGACAAGAAGAAACTCTTTCTGGTATAGTTCATTGTTCAGCATGCTTAACGTTCACTCAAATGGTTTCTGCTCTAGTGTCATTCCAGTAATTCACTTTTCTCACTTGTCAGAAAATGTCATCTACTGGCCTTGATGTGGGTTTTCAATAAATAAGAATTTCTTAGAGCAACGCTTTGCTAGAATCCAGAATGCCAGTTTTTTTTATCAGTATAAATAACTCTATGTTCTAACCATTAATATGATGATAGTACATCTCTGGCCCTTGGAGACAGCAGGATTAATGCCATGAGCTCTGAAGAAATAACCATTCACTATTCCCTATTGCCTTATTACATACCAAACAGGAATATTAATCTATGGTAATAAAATTGGTAGGCACTTTTCTCTTATGTTTGTTGTTTAATCCAGATGTTTTTCTATTAGGGAAAAAACAGCAATGGGAGCATAAGTAGACATTATTGGAAGGTGCTGCATCACAGAAGGAACAGGATGCCCTACATTTTTCACTTGATTCTATGTATATTTGCAGAGTATGTCTTACCCTCTTTCCACAGAAGCAGTTCTGGTTGTGCTTTGTATCATGTGGAATAATTATTTAACTTTTCTCATATGATGTTTTGAAAATAGACAACTAGTCAAAAGAAAGACTTAGCTGTGAAAGAACCTGCTGATACCAAACTTTTCTTTTTCACATGAAGTGACTTTTTAAATAAACTTGTAAAGAAGCCACAAATTGGCCACTTCTTTTCCTGGTTTTTCAGCTGTTGGCATAATCAGGGTTTTGAGCACAGTGCTTCAAGAAGTCTACTTATATATAAAACTCAGAGTAAAATAGGGTGTTAAAAGAACTGTGTTACAGATTGTTAAATAAATGCTTTTTGGTAACCAGGGCCAAATCTGCTCTCATTTGAGGCACCATATGTGCCTACTCCTGTAGGGCAAAGTCCGAGTTTATCTCCAAAATTGCACTTAATTTCAGGAGTGAGTGATTTTGCTAGCACTTCAGACTCATGGATTTGAAGCAAATTTAGTATCTTACCACCCACATTACGGCAGTAATTACCCAAGAGCTGTAGCCATCGCATCCCAAATAGCCTTACATTTCAGAGGTGCACGTGCACACCCACATACTTGTGGCTGCAGTGAGACTCACGTGGTGACAGCAAGAAGCAAAGACTCTTCTCAGTGTCACAGTGTACAAGTATCAGAAAGGCTTTAAACTTGAACCTTCACTTCCATCTCTTCATTCTAGAGCTTTCCTGTATAAATGAAAAATATTCCTGTAGAAAGCATGACTCTCATTCTAGGGGTTTCAACAGTCAGTACAAATGAATAGTCAAAGCATGGTCACAAGGCATCACAACAGGACTTTGCCACTATTATATTCCACAAAGTAAGTTAAGGTCTTGGACGGGGCCAGGGCTTTGGGTTGGTGGTTCAGGCAACTCACATCGTAGACAGAGCAACAGGTTGGGATAAGCACAGTCCCTCTGACTTGGGTGGTTGTTGCTCTGATTTGTTGCTTTGCCTAGATTACACACACTCCTGTTCAAGTGCACTTAAGATAGTTATTTTATAAAATGTTTCACGTCATAAAAACTTTTTAAAGCCTGATAAGGTAGTTTAATAAAAGGAACAGACATGTCTGTTGAGATGGGCATACATTTTTCTTGATGACTTCAATAAAAGGCTCACATTCATAAAGGAAAGGGCAGAGGTGCAGTAGGAAAGAAAGGCAAACAACCTTTTGTGTAACTCCTGTGAAGCTGGCAATGCCACAGAGCCTGAATAACAAACGTGAACATAACCGATGGCAGACTGCTTGCTGCTGTCTACAAAGTGATCAGAAAGGGAAAAACCTAAGAAAGGCAGTCACTTCATTTCTACCAAAACCCTACTCTCAGCCCACCTCAACAAGTACAGATTTACACTGCCTGGGATTCTCTTCTGTAACAGGTAATCAGGGCTGCCTGATGCAGGTGGAACATACTCGCGCTTCAGTAAACCTTCCCTGGTTTTAGCACCCTCTTTTCTTATGTATAACTGCATTCTGAAGTCCCTTTTTTCATGTACTGTGGGTCTTTTCTTAAGAGGCCTCTCCAACTTCTGTCCTTTCCAAATTGATTTCCTCGTACTAGAGAAGGAAAAAATATAGACATTGATCAGAATACACAAAGCATGAGGAAACAGCTGTTAGGGTAATTAAAACTGTTTTGAATTATTTTCTACTTTTTTTTTTTAATTATTATTTTTTAAAATATATTTACCAATCTGGTTTCTAATAGAACTTTAGTTAAAAGGAAAGACTTTCACAGAAGGTATTAGGCATACATACACATTGTCCTTCTTTCATTCTAGTTTACATGGCATTGCTTTTAGAAGCCAGGGTTTCTGTTTCATTTCTCTAGGATGGATAATGAAATCTGATTAACAGAATTTAGGTTCTGCTTTTCAGAAATGATACCCCTTCAGGATCACCATGCTTGCTGGAATGTAAAATCATTCAAGGGAGAAACCATATTAAAAGCTATCGCTTGTCAAACTGAGATAGCTTCACATTTCAACAGATACCCTGGAGGTTGGATGCATCTGCCATGAAAGGACACTGCTTTAACTAAAATGCATTTACTAGACTCTTAAACTGAATTCTTATCACTACAATAAACTTGTACACCACTGCTTTGGCAGTCTTACTAAAATATTTATGATGACCATCCTTTCACATACATCATGCTGTCTGGAGCATGATACTAAAATGCTGCTGTACCTTTGAAGTGGTAATTGCTATCAAAGATTTAAAAGGTATAGGTAACATTTAAGACAAGAAAAAATACAAAGCAGTAATACTCCAGTACCAATTAAAGATACATATTCCTATTTAATACATCTGAATTTTCTATCAGTAAATATGGAATACACTGTGTGTGAAAGACTCAGTTCAAAACCGCCAGATTGGATTGCAGATTTCCCCTTGAGGCTGGGTTGACATCAAAATTAGTTTTCCACCATTGTGGCTCTCTGGAGCTCCACGACTCATTACCTGCTGGTCTGTGTGTCTTGTGAATGAGGATCTGAAATATTGCTTACATTTTTTCACTGAGAGCCCCAGTCTCCAGCCCAGTCTTGCTCTCCCCACCACCGGCGGCAGTTCTGCCACTGATTCCTGTGGAATCAGGAGTGAGCCTGTTAGAAATGCAACTGGGACACTGTGGTTCCCCAGTCAGTACAAGAAGCTACATTTTTCTGCACAGTTCAAATGGGTGAAGCAGCCAAAAAGAGGTGATAAAAGCCTGATTATTTTAATATTCTTGGCGGAAAGCACAGAGCTTTATAAAGTAGGATCCACTCTCCCCTCCAACAGATCTTCCCACTACAGGTGTATGGATAGTACCTGTTAAAGAACATGGATTTTTGGCACAGATAAGAGTGGTTGAAGTAAACTATGGATGTTTCAACCTTCAACAGTAGGCTCACAGAGGAAGAAATCCTCAGAATACATCTAGTGCTAGCAAAATACACAAGTTACTTCTCTGAGCCTGCTCCTGCTTTACTGTTAGGTTGCTGAATGACCACTGCATATAATTAAGCATACACCCTTATCAAAAATGAAATACAAAGCAGATGTGCAGGAATTCACCTACAGTCACCAAACTCCTATACAGAGACCAGCTGCTAGTCTACAACATCATGACTAAGGTCCAGTTTAAGAAGAAACAAGAAGTCAAATAATTAGAAGAGTTTTTAGAGTTATGAAAGCGACTGTATCATGAAAATACTGACAAGATTGAAGATTATCAACATTTTAACACAGCAGTAATGAACTTCACATAAAGAGGTGCATGGTGTCCAGTCAGTAGAGAGACGCAGATGCTTGCAACTTGATTTCAGAAATTTAAAACCTGTTTTTCAAATTTAAGACACTAATTTACCACTATTGCTTGTTCAATTATCAAAGGGGATTTTCCAGAATTTCTTGCTTACAGGGTTGTGGGAGATTAACTGGTAATCTTTTAGAAAATCAGTGAACAGATGTCATAGGTCTCACTACCATAACCCTGACAACTGTCCCTAGCTTTGCCAAGGACACAGAGACCGAGCTGTCTTTCCCCTCTACTGCCATGCTAAGGCATTTGGCAAATTTGCACTGTGGCTGCTGTCTGTCTCTGCCATATGAAGCAGCAGAGGACTCTTGTCTCTCAGGAGCCTGATTCTCCTCCCAGGCATTAAATTCAGATTAGTAAATAACTTTTTGCTGCAGACCAAATCCCAATCTATACAAGTGATGCTTTATTCACTGCTCTTGGTAACCCGAAGTTGCATGCATGTTTTTCATATGGATGATGTCTTTCAGACTGGACTAACATACCATTAAAATAAATTAAACATAACATAATATAGAAAAGAGAATGCCTTTTCAATCCTGCAAAGATATCTGTGATTGCTATGTATTTTGCTGAATAGTTAGTGGTGCAGGGTAGACCCATCCCATGCTGATACTCTCCAAGGGGTAGTGACTTACCTTACACCCATAATTAAATAGCAATAAGGACTCATCTGCTCAAATAAAAACAAGAGAGGAAGACATTAAATACTGGAGGCAAGGCAAAAGACTGCAGAGCACAAGAGTGACAGAGGTGATTGTTATGCCTGCCTGAACCCCTCTGCCACATAACGTTACCTCAGAAACTATTTTTTTTTTTAAACTGGCAACTTTTTTGTATGCTAATTCCAAATCCACAAACAGAAGAAATCAGTGGGCTTGATTTGCTCTGATATCTATGTTCAATGAATCTGGAAGAGGACTTTAGGCTATCAGCCTTAAAAGCCTATCTGGCCTTCTCTGTCTGACAAAATTGTGCTTATAAATTTCTTGTCTGGTAAGACTCCAGTATTTTCTTCCCCCTCCATGTTTTTGTGTTTGTTTTGTTGTTTTTTTTTTTTCATTTTAAGGCTTTGACTAGAATAATGAAAGGTACAACCAAAAAGATAAAGATACTGAAAGATGCCAGCGCTGCTCAGTGTAGTATATGGCAGATTTGGGTGAAAAAAAAAATCTTTCTTGTACAGAAAAAGGGGATTACATCTGTGCATACTAAACCCAGCAATATTAAAGATAAAGCAAATCTAGGACTGCCACAGGCATAAATACTTTTAAGAGGAAATTCTTGGTATTGTTTCTGTTCTTTCAGCACACAGCAAATGACCTGCAACACATTAATTCCTTCATTTTTTTCCACTGCAAAAACTGCCCATTAAGGCCTTATGTTCTTATCAAATCAGACAACTGCAGAACCACGCTGCTCTACAGAGGTCGAGCTAAAGCTATGTTATTGCCATCAAAGGATATTAGGTCTTAAGTCTGCCCTTATGCCTTCCCTACAAACTGCCTGCCTGCTTCTCAGGTGACACCTACAACTTCCCTGGTCTGAGAGGGGACATGGGGTGCCATGCTGCACTTGGCACAGGCCTTGCTATACTTAAAAATGCCATAAAAAGACAGCAAAATAGTTCAGGTAAATCTCTGTATTGAAAAGTAACTCTCCACTGTGCACTCTGGGCAGTTTCTCACGTGCTCTCTGGGCAGAGTTTCCAAGCCTCCCTCACCTTCCTGTCTGTGCAAACACTGCCAGCAGAGGTTTTCCTTGCAAATGGACTGAAATAAAGGATTTAAAGAATACATTGCTATGCTAGAGTTGGAAAAAAATGTATTACGTGAAGCCCGTGGCGTCAAATGCACTGACTAGAGCCGTACTAATATTTCTGCGACAGTCTATAAAAAAGAAACAGAAGCAAACAAAGTCTGGCTCTAATTCCCTACTACAATGCTTACACCTAAGCACAGTATATGCCAATATGCCACAGGCAGAGCCGAGTTTAAACTGGCACGTGCCTCAGGTCACCAGGGCCATAGCCAAAGACAAAGGAACAGACTAAGTCTACATACTCACACAGCATCATCCTCCCTCAGAGACCAACAAAATAGTAACAATGAAAAGCTCCCGAAAGCTTTCTGTGCTTTATGATCATCCTCTCTGGTATTAGTAGTAGTAGTTGTAATAACAGTATCTTTACATTGCTGATGAGAATTGTATGTAATCAACAAAGAGCCTGGATCAAAAAGATGGATCCTGGCAGGGTTGGCAGGGGCTGATGACACACTGAAAAATTGGCGAGTAAGTCTTGCATTAATCCTCACCCCCTTGTCCCACCCCTAGCCCTGAACCCCTGATTCAATGCCACCAAAATGAATGGTGATGTGGTCAAGGTGCGGGGCTGAGGGCAGCCTGTGGGGAAGTGACCAGCCATGAAGGAACACAACGCCAGGAAGAAAGGTCTGCCATTTGTTCTCAGGACAGAACTACCCACATTTTAAACAGATTTTAAAAAATGTAAAAAACCAACCCCATTTCTCATCACAGGTATCCAGAACACCTCTAAACACACACAGAAATAGACAGGTATTACTGAAAATTTTAACCAATGCTGAAGCGGCAAAATTGCTCTTTGTTGTAGTTGTTTGGATACGGAAGGAGCAATTTGCTGTAAATAAATATTAAAAAGTTTTTTTTTTCTTAAATGCTTATTTTTTTTTTCTTCAGTCTTAGTGGTATTTTCCTGTCACTTGCTCCTCCAGTTGTGCTGATCTTTTTACTGTATATGTGCTCAAGCGTCTGACGCAGAGTGTTCTCTTCCCACTGCAAGAGTCATCCCAGTCCCACCCTGGCCCACCTCATCTCCCACCCCAGGCCCCGTCCCTATGGGCTTAGATAAGCCATTCCTTCTTGCTCTCGTCGATGGTCTCCGTGAAGTTGGGGTCATTGTTCATGATGGCGGCATCGGCGCTCTCGGCTGACTCTGCCCCTTTGGCCTCGTTGGTGTGGTAGGTTCCCTTGTGGCGAAACATGTAGCGGATCAGGAACACCAAGGTGCAGAGGATGGTGAAGATCACCACTGCAATGACACCTACACAGAGGAGGGAAGAAAAGATGCCACTAGCGAGGGGAACACCTACAGGGTTTGACACAAAGAAAGGATCCCACAGCTCCTCCAAGCTGAGCCTAGGCAGTTAAGCGTCACCACAGTTGTTTGATTTTCAACATTTATATGTAGTTTTCGTTATATACAAAATGTCACTAAGTGGAGTCTGACAGTGACCTTCATCCTGTAGGAAAACTTCAACATTAGTATCTACTTACAGGGGTGAGATTCGCTGACCATGAGGCAGAGGGTGCCCTGTGCTCCCAAAACACAGGGGTAAAATGGTGATGTGTCACAGCCTGGGCAGGTCTTTGGGGAGTCACTGATGTATACTTTCCAGTCACTGGTTGTATAAATCTATCATAGCCTCTCAACATATCCTTGAAAATTGGCTGGGCTCACTGTTGGCTTTCTTCACCCACTAGGCACTGGCTCCACATAATTATAGATGTAAGTGTGTTATCATCAGATCTATCCTTAATTGCTCTCCCTGCAATGGTCTATTTGGAGTTCAGCCCTGTTATGGGGAAGTCTCATATATCTTACCCTCTTAGGCAATGTGCAAAAACAGTACTGTTTCTTTTTTTGCCCTTCTCTACAGGCATGAGGACCTTCTAGATGAAGACATTATAAAGTTCTCAGGTTAAAAAAAATCTTGTAATCAGCCAGAATTATGTTATACCACTTTTGTTAACTGATACACTGGACATCCAGGCTGTTCAGGTATGGCCTGGCTTTTTCAGAGGAATGCAATGCTATCTTTCTAAGGTTTCAAAATATTAAGGAAAAGTTTTAATTAGTAATAAAAATATAAATTAAAAAAAGAAAAATAACATAGCAAATCAAAACTAAAGCAACTAAGCTAAACCCAGATATGGAAACACAGACCCTTGAGGGGGCCAGGGAAAAGAAACAAGAAATTTCATTAGACTGCACATACTACTATAGTCATTGTTGCTTTACATGGCAAAAAACCACCACCAGTATGTTATTTTATATGCATTTAGAACTGACTGAAAACTATTAGGCTGATCTTTACATTTTTTTTTTTTTTAATATGCCTTCTGAATTTGATGCAGTGGCAAAGTTCTTCCAGGAGAGTTATGGTGCAACACTTCTGTAATATGGCACAGGGCAGAGAAAATTGCATGTGTATATAAAATTAATCAGGATCCTTATTTCTGGAGGCAGCTGGCCAGACCAATGGAATGCTAATTCAAAGTTCCATTTCTCGTATTGCTTAACATCACCTATCACACTGAATGGGACTCTGGCACATAAGTTACAGAACTTGGCCTCTAAAAAACAAGGCAGGATCACGAGGGATTTTTGTAAAGGGTGGAGCAAATAGTGATTGATGTAGATTCATGTTGAATCTGCTGTAACTGGAAAAGTGTCCTTGACATTTCATATGAATTAATTACTCTGTTAGCATAAGTAACTACTGCAAAGTAGCTCCCCATATGGATGCTTAAAATGTGGATTATGAATATCAGTATTTTGATTTGGTGAAAACTGAATCTGAGGGGACAAACTAAGTGAGAATAAACCATTTCACTAGGACAATGTGCCTGACAGACAGACTTATACAAATTTCTATTTAACTTTGTTCAGGTGTAGCTTTCCCACATAGTCAGGTCTTAGCAAATAGCTTGAATATGTTACCAACTGCAATTCAGTCATCACAGTCATACTGCCAAGTATCTTAGAAAAGTAATCGGTTTTCCTACCTCCAATAATGGCAGAGTTTCTGTTAACTCCATCTCCTATAGCTTGACCGTTGTATGGGAAATCAGCACTGGCTGTGAATAGGAAATTAAAGATTCATATTGCAATAGCAGTGAAACTTCACATGGTAGTTCAGAAATACGTCCAACATCCTCAGATACAATTTAAAGAAAACTGTGATGTCTAGGTATTTATCTAAAGAAGAAGAAACAAAAAAATCTTTTATATTATCTAATCCCTCAGAACTCCTTTCTCCCTCCTCTTCAGAAGAATAAAATTAAAAAAAGGAGATATACTTGGTAATCACTGCTGCTAATACAGGAGAACATTTTGTTACTCTACTAACATAAATGCAGTAAGTTTCTTTAGCACAAAACCAAAGAAACCACCTTCTTTCAAAAGCGTGTGATCATACATACTATTACAGAGATTTTTTGCCTTTGTCACTGCTACCCATGAAAGATTTCAGAAGTTTCCAGGATTTTGTGACCACCATTGAGTACAACTGCAAGCTTTTTGAAAGAAAAAGTGCCACCCCTTTTGCTGCTGTACAGCCCAAGGTACGTGAGGGGCTGCACTTGCTGTTGGTCAGAGCCGTAGAGCAGTCACCCGAAGGAGCTCACGCCAGCACCTGTGCTACCCTGGGAGGAAGCCCGATGTGTCAGCCACTGCTGGAGGTGCTGTGGAGCTGGGATGCAAGACTGTGCGTTAGAGGAGCGGAGGCATGGCAGGCAGGAGAGCCTGCAGGGGAGGAGAGCCTCCAGCAGGCAGACAAGAAGGAACAGTCACATGTACCAGCGCTCATGTCCCAGCGGCCTAAAGGGAGAGACTACTTGTGGCAGAGCTGGATGAAGAAATCAATACAGGTTTACAGTAGAATTTGGACGGTAGTCTTGGTTTTAACCTCCAGGAAACATTACAGAGGCTTTTCAAAGACAATCTCATCAATTAAACCTATCTTCAGCATTTTCTTTACAGTCAGACCCAGCAACTACACACTGCAGTGACTAAGCAAGCCCAGGGAGCTAGATGACTGGCTGTAATCATTCCCTTCTTTGCCACTGAACTATGGCATTGAGACAGTTAAAATAATCAAGGATATGAATTACTTCTTACATCAGTATTTAAAACTCTGCTGTATTTTCCTTGCTCGATGAATTAAGTGATATTGTATTAAAGTAATCAGTTGCCTTTGCAGGCCAGTGATGCATTCACTATACCCAGAAACTGGCTAAGGGAATTCTACTGGCTTTCTATTAGCATGGAGTAAAATCCATAATAAAGTTCGTTTTATATCATAAAACAGCTGCGCAAAAGAATAAATGGCTTCAGCTCATCATGTGTCCTGAAAAGGTTTGGGGTGAGAGTAGCCTTCTGTGAGCCTACTCTGGGGAAGAGTGGAACCAGCTGTGAGCTGAACTACTAGTTTCTGGCTGGTGGCCTGTGGGACAAGTAAGAAAGCATTTCTCAGGGGTCAGTGGAGGTGGCCTGGCCAGCAGTTTTTGCCAGCAGCACTTGTGCCTTTGACATTTGTCCGTGCTCTGGCTTCTGAAAACAGCGTATTTGCACCTCTCTGAAACACGCCAGATTAAAAAATGTAAAAAATAAATAAATACCTGATTCCATACCAGTGGATTTTGCTCCAAAGAACCTTACTGTGCAGGACCATGAATGTTTCCTACAGAGACGTTTTGGCACAGGGTCCATAATATTAACCTTGCAGTGACTAAAGGGAAGGGCTGGCAGTGGGAAAATAAACCCTAACTTTAAACCTGCCCTCCCTGCACCTCAATTAAAATCCTAAAGCCAAATAATACCATCTGGAAAAGCATTCATTTCCCAAATTGTAGGGAATTGCACTCTGCTGTTCTAATACAAATGGAGTCCCCTTGACATAGAAGCAGCACCACAGGCAGTTAACAAGTCCTACCACTTGTCACTTGGAGTTGCTCTCTCTTCAAATCGGCAATAGGTCACAGTTCCCTCTTCCCTTACAACTGAATAGTATATTTTATCTTCTTTTAAAAGGTTGTTTCAAGGATTGCAGCACTAGTGAAGTGTGAAGGAAGAGGAAAGCTGCTGCTTATGCCAGCATAATCCCTCCCAAGCTGCTACATCACAACAGCTATGCTACAAAGGATTCCTGGAAGATGGAAGACCACAGCTTATGATGTTCAACAGCCACTGAAGTACACCGCAGGATAAGGAAGAACACGAAGCATGATATGAAGCTACATCCTTGATCTTGTTTGAGAGCTGCTACTAGGACTGGACCCGATGCCTCCATCTGAAGCTGCTTTTCATTGCATTTAGTCATCATACACATTCAGGAGATGTCCATTGTATCAACACACAGATGTGACTCACTCTGAGACTCATCTCTGACAAAGAAGAGACAGGAACATGCGTCTGGGGGCAGAGGACAAACTATTTCAACAAGAGTTCACCATCAGCAACTGCTGGAGAAATGGGAGTGCTATAGTGAAAAAAGGATCTTAGACATTCATGAATATTTTTTCAAAGTGCCTACAGCAGTGTTAGCAGATATTATTGCCGTAATTTATGAATTCATGTTCCATTACTGTTGTATCAGCAGAAGACCTGCTTTTACATCATTGTTTTTATTTGACTGAAAAATTATATGCAAAATCTCAGCCAAGTGTGGGATTATAGAATATCTTTTGCTGCAGAAGTGTCTATACCAGTTTTTACTAAATGTATTATTACAGATGGACGGAGGAGAAGGGAAAGAACTTATTACTTTCTCTTTTAGGTGGAAGTTCCCTTGGAATTCTTCTGCGCAGCAAGAGCTTCTCAAATGATCAGAAATAGCTACAGACCAGAGGTCTAAGAACTGCAAAAGGGTAACTCCTGCCACAGCAATTAGGCAGAAGAGAACATATGAGTGCATATTCCTTGAGCCTCCAAGATGCTGATGACAGAGTACTGTCACCAACAGGCACCAAGTGCAGGTATTTCAGGTAGCAATTATGCCATTCAAACACATGGTGATTTGTCTCCAACCTTACTATGGTCACATTCCTTGGCAATATTAAGCAACTTTGTCAAGAAGACAACTAACGAGATTCTTTCTTCCATCACTGCTGAAATTCAGGAACTAGACAAGAAAAACACATGTTAGAGCAGGCTGACAAAGGGGCAACAGTAATACTGATGCTCTGGTAAAAACACAGAAGACTACAGAGTGCCGTTCACAGGTTGTAAAGAGTAACTCCTAAAATGCTTTCAAATGACTAGTCAGATAAAATTAATACTGTTACTAGTGACTCTCATATTTGATGCAAATCTAAATCACAGTGGTATAATAACTAGCTCACATGTCTATAATATGTAGATGAAGTACAGGGTGAGTTGCTAATGGAAAAGTGTGTGCCTTCGTTTCTCTGTCGCAGCTGGGAACACTTCTTTCCTCTTCAAATTCTTCCATTATCACTGTGACATTAAGTCTAACTAAATGTCTCAGCAAGCCCTTTTGCACTGCCTGATACTTGCACCTTAACAGCTTCAAACCATGACTTGCCCACAGCAAACAGGTGCCACAGAGCTGCAGCTGCACTACATAGTTACTCTGCAAAGCCTCTCTGGACAGCAAGTGGTTTGTGAATGTAATGTAAGAAGGATGTGGGGAAGATACTGCAGAAGTCTTGGTCTACATACCATGCTCCTAATTGTTAGCTGAGGCCATGAATAGGGATATTCAGTTTTCCTTTATTATCTGGTCTACAAAGGTTGCTTTCGAACAGCTGATTCCCATCTGGTTTGGGGACTGTATTGGAAAGATTTCCTTACCTTAGGACCTTTTTCTGAATCTTCCCGAGGTTTCTCTGAGCAGCCAGGGTCTCACTTGTATGAATCAAAACATGAAGAACAGAGCAAAGAGCTTTTTTATCTATCCTGGAAAATAGTTACATATTGGCCCAAGAGACATGCTACCTATTCCCTGAAATCAGCTGAGGCACTGAGCCACTGGTTTGCTGTCAGGACACACCAAAGACATTTTCCTAAAACCCACAGCTAGTATCGGGATGGATTGAACTGTACCAGGAAATGCTAAACTCATCTGTGGCTTACAAATATCACTTAATCTTGTTCCCTTTCAGAACACAAGCTGGGCGATGCTGTTCTTTGCACCCTGTCTTCTCACAGCAGGTCATTGAGTTTGCTTCAATCACCATCACCCTGAAGCTAACTTAAATAAATGGACACAGCATACTTTGTATTTTCTTTCTTTCATGAGCTGCTGTTTATGAGGCCATAGTTTCAACAACCACAGAGTAAATCTATGGAGTTTGAAATTATGCTTTGCACTTTTCAACTTTTTGTTATTAGTCTCAGGGTAAATGGGGCTACAGAATTTTGCAAACCCTAAAAGAGTGATTAAAGACTGGCTGCGGGCAAAATCCACGTTTTGGCCATCATTTTAATGTCATTTGAAATTCTAGATGACCACAAAAATGCAGTGGGAGACCTACCATCATCCGGAAGGCTCAGCATGGTCATTGCTACAGCCAGCTGCAATACAGCAGCACTCACTGAATGGAAAGGGGAGATGGGACTGGATAAACAGACCATAATTAGGTTGTTGAAGATGACAGATGTGGTTGATTTAACAGCGTGAATGATAATTTTGCTTCATTATAGTAGGCGTGATTTTGCATCTGCCATTTTCAGAGGGACAGTTTTTACAATGGATCCCACATAAAAGCCTTTTGCAAATTCACAAAATTGAAATGCAAAATGACCCTGTTAAAGTAGAAAAGTGATCCAGAAAGTGGGTGTGGGTAGAGAAATGAGCAAAAGGATATTCAGTAAAGGCAAGGGAAAAAACAGAACCAAATGGGGAGACTTTTCAGCTAGAGGTACTAAGAGTACAAAGTGATAGGCAAATCTCATTCTGACATACACTACAAAGAGTGTTACATATAAGCCAATGGAAGCAATTTTTTTTAACTAGACTTTTACTGAGTGGGCGTCTTAGTTAAAATACATCACACTACAAAGGAAGATTTGCTCCAAAAATGGATGAGTGGGAGCGATAACAGGTGTAAAAAAA